GTAAAACCAAAGTTACTTTCCCTAGTAACTAGTTACTTTGAAAGTAACGAGTAACTTGAAGTAACTGAGTTACTTTTGATAGAAGTAACTAGTAATGTAACTAAGTTACTATTTTAAAATAACTTACCCAACACTGGTGAGAACATGTGGAGGCTGTTAGATGGATAACACAGTGAGTTCAGTGCACTGATGTGATATTGTCCTGAAGGATTTAGTTATTCTCTATGGTTAAAGAAATCGCAATAATTTATTCATATTTATTATAAATAATTCTAAATATACATCTTGCTTCCGTGTTTGTGTGCTGTGTCACTAAAAGTAAATTTTATTTTAGTTTTATACATTGATCAATGACCTGCAGAATCTCCTTATCATATTACGTGTCCATAATTGTCACTTAAAGTCAAACTTTATGCTTTCTCCATCTCTAAAGTGATGACATCCATGCATTACATACTTTAGGTTCATTTTCTGCAGGCAGGTTTCTGACAGGGAACAGGCAGATTTACACTATAAGATGCAGCGTTCTATAGATGGACACATAAAGAAATGAAAAATGACATGTATGTGCTAACTTTCTAAACACTTTGTTACATTTGTGATAAATGGATTAGAAAGTAGATCAAACACATTTGTGTCGGCCTTGGCTCATTAAAGTTCTTGTCTTTAAATTAACTTTGTATGTTTCAGGTCCTGCACTCTCAAAGACGGAATGAACCAGCATTGCAGCCATGGGTCACTGTGAGCATCACAGGGAAGGTTGAAGACGCCCACTGCAGCTGTAAGGTCAGAGTCTTGGAGACCTGCAGCCATGTCGCTGCAACAGTGTTGATCCGTGGCACCAGGACTGTTACAGATGAACCTGCATACTGGGGTTTGCTGGGTAATATGACCAAGATACAGCCAGAGGTTGGCCATAAGATAGACGTCTCCTCTTCAGCTGCCCAAAAAAGGCTCTCAATCAAAACATAAACAGACCATCTGTAGTGACAGGTAAAAGGAGCTGTCCTCAAAACAGAAAAATCCCACCTGCTACTTTGGAGGAGTTGTCACTGATATTGGATACTTTGCTGGAGCACAGTAAAGCTGTGAGTTGTGGGAATGACCCATAATGTTTTATCTAGGGGTCTAGATTTATGCCTGAAGTGCACTGCCGTGTAAATAATTTGCATTAACTGAATATGTACTATATATGTATATGTACATTTACTGAATATGTGCCACTGTTCAAAAGTTGAATAAAGAAACAAACTAATTTTTGCCTTTTTCCTTTAATTAAAACCACTTTAAAGAAAATCACATCAGTTACAATGATGTCATTTATAGTTTATAAAAGACAATGTTTACACATGACAGCATTTACATGATATCACCCACTACTAACACTACTTAATTTACTGTATCTTCTGAAAAATTACTGCTATTTATATTTAACATATATCCGGCTTCCTCCCACCGTCCAAAGACATGCAGCTTGTGGGGCTAGGTTAATTGGTTAATCCAAATTGTCACTTGGTGTGAATGTGCGAGTGAATGTGAGTGTGAATGGTTGTCTGTCCCTGTGTGTTAGCCCTGCGACAGACTGGCGACCTGTCCAGGGTGTACCCTGCCTCTCGCCCAATGACAGCTGGGATAGGCTCCAGCGCCCCCCGCGACCCTGAAAAGGACAAGCGGAAGCGAATGGATGGATGGATGGATATTTTATATTTATAATATTTAACAGTAGCGATTTTCATTTGTCCCTGGTTTTACTACCACACTGTTCGCCAAACGCAGCCAACCTTCACTGTCTTATCCAGAAGGGTCACCCCTTCACCCTCACATGGAAGAAGTAATCTGATTGGCATGGTGGTATGTTTGAAGCAAGGATTTCGGAGTGGCCCTTGTGTAGCGCTGGAACCCAGTAATGATATGTTTCATCCATTTCATAGGCTGGTTTGCTGCAATAATGCCAAATAATTAGCAACAATATTACGTTGAAGCACAATATGTATTACTCCGCGAGGCTCCTACCACATAAAATCGGTTTGAGGTCAGTAAGCACAAGCAGAATTCAAACATGAGGCGCACTGTCGATTTTTCAGATTTCGTTAATCTCGTTAAAATGACGTTAACGTCATAACTGCATTAACGCGGCAAATCTCTGTTAACGAGTTACCACAGATAGCCCCGGGTAATGCAACTATAGCATTAACATCCTTTTAACGAGAGTAACGCTGCAGCACTAAAATAGTAATCTCCAAATGTTTTCTTTTTACCGAGCAGCTCCTCTTTGATAGCTGCCGTGTCCATCCTGTCGTTGCCTGCAGGTGAAGCGATGGGGAGTCATGTTCAGTGAAGGAGAGAGGCGAGGCGTAGAGACAAAAGTAGACGAAAGAGAGGCAAACTTGTGGCTCTACAAGTATAATTATAACGTAACATAGACTATATTGATATAAATGATATTGTCACATCTCATATCTTGTATAAAAATATATCAATGTACTTAAAAACTCGATATATTTTCCTTTGTGCCTCAGAATATAAGGGACTGCATATAAAAATGGCTGTAATTCATCATTTTGATACAGTACCCTTTTAAAAAACTTTATTTTAGGTGTTTTATACACTTATATACACTACTGTGTAAAAGTCTTAAGCTACTTCTCATTTTCATGTATATTTTCCTTCCAAGGAGACAGACTTTCTTGTCATTTTTAAACTGGTCTTGAGCAACACTTTGCTAGACTTTCTGTTTTTTGAAAGTTTGTCTTTGCCGTGGAGGCCTAGGGCACGACCCGCTCTGCAAATAACAGAGGGTCTAAGCAACATTTCCAGTTGTGTTGATCCTTGTGAATGAACTTACGAATCATGGATTTTAAAGTTGTATCCAGCCAATCCACCAACCCGTCAGACTGATGCTGGTGGAAGCTGGTTTGAACAGATTTAATGCCAGTGATTTTGTCTTGTAGTGGTCGACAGATGAACGATGTGCCCTGGTCAGTCAGTATCTCTGTCGGGATCCTGACTTGGGAGATTATCTGAAACAGTGCCTGCACCACACTCTTTGCAGAAAAGGTGCACAGTGACACTGCTTAAAGATATCCACTAGAACTAATACAAAGCGATATTGCCGTGCACTTTGGGGAAATGGCACTATAAGGTCCATGCCAATGTGCTCAAAGGGATCTCCATTAACAGTAGTGGCCGCAAAGTCTCTTTTGAAATGGCCTCAGGGCAGGATGTGCACCATCGACGCATGTCCTGCCAAATGCTTGTCCACTAAAATTAAGCCATTATTCGCTACAAACTTTTATTATATGCCATATGCCCCCCCCCCCCATGGGGTTGTATATATTGAGGCGCCTGGGAGGCGTTGTCAGTATCACTGGCTGAACTGGTCACGGGTCTGTCATCCCACCAGTGGGTTTCCAGCAACACTGTAACACTAAGGACCTGACATGCAAACACCGTTTGCAGGGTTGGTGATTTTTATTTGCGGTGTTCTTTCTTTCTGGATTTCTTTCAGTCTCCAACCTTCCTTTCATATCAAACATCCTTGAAAGAGTAGTTGTCAAACAGCTAACAGATCATCTGCAGAGGTTTATTTGAAGAGTTTCAGTCAGGTTTCAGAGCTCAGCACAGAAACAGCTTTAGTGAAGGTTACAAATGATCTTCTTATGGCCTCTGACAGTGGACTCATCTCTGTGCTTGTCCTGCTAGACCTCAGTGCAGCGTTCGATACTGTCGACCATAATATCCTATTAGAGCGATTAGAACATGCTGTAGGTATTACAGGTACTGCGCTGCAGTGGTTTGTATCACATTTATCTGATAGACTCCTTTTTTCATGTAGAGTCACATATTGAGGTTAATTATGGAGTTCCACAGGGTTCTGTGCTAGGCCCAGTTTTGTTTACATTATTCAGTGTTTTCTTTTGACGGTGTCATTAGAAGGCATACCATACATTTTCACTGCTATGCAGATGACACCCAGCTTTATCGGTCTATAATGCCAGATAACACATAGCAATTAGGAGGTATGTGTTACCTCCTAATTGCAGAAATGTATTAAAGACAAAGACCTGGATAACCTCTAATATAGGCTTCTAAATTGAGATAGACCTTATAGTACTCTATCACCCAAGAGAACACTTCACTCTCGCACTTACTTGTTGTCCCTAAGGTATTTAAAAGTAGAAGGGAGGCAGAGCCTTCAGTTTTCAGGCCCCTCTTCTGTGGAACCAGCTTCCAGTTTGGATTCAGGAGACAGACACTATCTCTACTTTCAAGATTAGGCTTAAAACTTTCCTTTTTGCTAAAGCATATAGTTAGGGCTGGACCAGGTGACCCTGAATCCTCCCTTAGTTATGCTGCAATAGACGTAGGCTGCCGGGGGATTCCCATGATGCATTGAGTTTTTCTTCTTCAGTCACCTTTCTCACTCACTTTGTGTTAATAGACTTTTTCTATGCAAATAAAATTGAATTTGAATTAAACTTGTTGTAGTTCATTATTCGATTTGGTAATAGGCCTATTGACTAAATGACGGGCAAAACAATCAGCAACAACAACACATTTTACTTCCTCATATCACTCTTCAGTCTTTTACTTCCAGAAAGGAAACACGTGAAATGTTCAACGTGGTCTCACAGCAGTTTGTGAAATACTTGTATTTAATCTTTATATCCGTGTCACTGAAAATGACATTTCATATGTGTTCATAATCACAGATTTCCACACATCATATTTTTAAAAAGATGTGTGGATGTGTTAAGTTTGGACATTAAAAACAATTTGGTCAGGTTTAGGAACTAAATGCAGGATGTCTCTGTCCGATGATAAATTGTACATTTTTGCACAACGTCTGCTGTATTTGAAGGGTTATCAGATACAGAATTTTTAATTGTGTTCCTCTAGATGGGCCTTTTCCGAGGCAAGGCACTATATAAGAACCAGTCCATCTATCATTGAATAACTGTGGCTGACTGGCTGTGTGTGTTCCAGGATAATGGCGAGGACTCCCATCGTATCTCTCCCAGTCCCGTGGTGCACGTTCGGGGTCTGTGTGAGGCTGTGGTGGAGGCAGACCTGATAGATGCCCTGGAAAAGTTTGGACCCATATGGTGAGACAGCAACTAGTGTGTACACTATTCGAGTGTTTCTGCTTTGAAGATATCTGAAACTTGAAAGTATCCTTGAATGCATTTAATGATTGCAGGTATCAATTATTTTAGTCATTGAATATTCTGGGGATTTCTCCATTGATTAATCAGGTAATCAGATAGGAAAGACTTTTGTGTAATTAATGAGCAATAATAAATATTCAACAGAGAAAATCACAGGTGTTTCAAAAGGAACTGCTCATTGGTTTCCATTTTAGAAACTACACTGTTTCAACAATTTAACTGCATGCATTTGTCAGAAAACTACTACAGTATTTACATATCATGTTAAAACTGATGGTCACTTTGACGGGGCTCCAGCATTGCTCTGGATAGTGACTGAACCATTGCAACATCTTAAGACCTTTCTTTTTTCAGCCATCCCCTATCTACAGCAGTAAAATATCTGTTGTTGTTCTGCATGACCCAATTTTGACTAAACTTCAGCTGTTGGTCAGATGGCCTTTTATTTGATTATACAATACTTTGACATACAGAGGGGTTTTGTGGTCTCAATTATTTCCAAAGTGCTCAGCTACTGTGGTTGCAAAAGTAGCCCAAATCATCACTCCAAGCTATAATTATACAGTCTTTTCATGACAGTCTGATAGGACTGTCATGAACTGACTCATCTAACATGTGTTCTGAAGCCTGCAGAGTCTGAGATGTAGCCCTTGGGTTTTTGCAGTTTCTCTGAGAACTGCACAGTCTGACGTTGGGGTGAATTTGCAGATACATCTGGAAGACTGTCCCTATTGCCAGTCTTGGCAGCCGGGGGTCAGTCCACCAGGGCCTCCGCTCCTGGCCGCCACCTGGTACGCAATGCACCCGACCCCTATGGCGCCTCCTGCGGGTGGTGGGCCTGCGGGAGGATGGGCCCATGTCTCCTCTTCGGGCTGTGCCCGGTCAGGCCCCATGGACTAAGGCCCGGCCACCAGACGCTCGCCCTCGGGCCTGGCTCCAGGGTGGGGCCCCGGTAACCCTATCCCGGGCAGGGTAAACTGTTCCCTCGATGTTCTCTTCATAAGGATCTTCGGAATCGCTCTTTGTCTGGTCCCTCACCCAGGACCAATTTGCCATGGGAGACCCTACCAGGGGGCAAAAGCCCCCAGACAACATAGCCCCTGGGATCCCTGGGACACACAAACCCCTCCACCACGATAAGGTAGCGATTCAAGGGGGGGATGAGTTCCTGCCCCAAGTGGAGGAGTTCAAGTATCTCGGGGTCTTGTTTGCGAGTGATGGGAGAAGGGAGCCGGAGATCGACAGACGGATTAGGGCTGCAGCTGCAGTAATGCAGACGCTGCACCGGTCCGTCGTGGTGAAGAGAGAGCTGAGTGTAAAAGCGAAGCTCTCAATTTACCGGTCGATCTACGTCCCTACCCTCACTTATGGGCACGAGCTGTGGGTAGTGACCGAAAGAACGAGATCGCGGATACAAGCGAGTTTCCTCCGAAGGGTGGCTGTCCTCTCCCTTAGAGATAGGGTGAGAAGTTCGGCCATCCGGGAGGGGCTCAGAGTAGAGCTGCTGCTGCTCCACATCGAAAGGAGCCAGCTGAGGTGGTTCGGGCATCTGACAAGGATGCCCCCTGGGCGCCTCCTGGGTGAGGTGTTCCAGGCATGTCCCACCGGGAGGAGGCCCCGGGGCAGACCCAGGACACGCTGGAGAGATTATATCTCTCGGCTGGCCTGGGAACGCCTTGGTGTTCCCCCGGATAAACTGGAGGAGGTGGCTGGGGAGAGGGAGGTCTGGGCCTCTTTGCTTAGGCTGCTACCCCCGGCCTCAGATAATGCGGATGAGGATGGATGGATGGATGGATGGATGGATGGATGGATCTGGAAGACTGGAAAGACTGCCAGTTGTCTTCAATTTTTTTCAATTTGTGAATAATTTTTCTGATTGTGGAATGATGGACTTCATGCTGTTTGGAAATGGCCTTATAAGCATCCTCAAACAGCATCAATTACTTCTTTTAGATCAGTGATGATGGCAGCAATTCTGACCTTTGTTCTTTTTGAGTATCATGCTAAAAAGTTGTCATAACTATTTCTGGGCTGTTTCTGTGAATATTCTTTCCAGAATCCCAGAAAGTTGATTCTGGACGTTGTCTGTGAAGTGGTGCCAAGGTAACGTCGTCCAGAGAAGGCATTTGGTTAAGATTTTGGGTGCCAAGTACAATAACGTCCATGTTATCTGGATTTAAAAGCAGGAAATTCGAGGTCACCCATGTCTTTATGACCATTCTTCAGTTTAACTGATGTGTATTATCTAGCCTAATGGATAGATAAAGCTAGGTATCATCTTAATACTAGTGAAGATATATGCTATGCCTTCTAATGATACTGTTGTGGGGAGACTTGAAGCTTACAGTGTCTTGGTGCATGCTTAGTCATCCAGGTAAGTAAATCTCAAAAGGTTGATTCTGTTCATCTGGACGTTTTCAGTGGGAGAAACATTTTGTCACTTATCTAAGTGACTTCTTCAGGCTCAGCTGACTGCAGGCTTCCCCAACCTTTGCTAAACCAGACAAAATGACAAAATGTTCCTGAGAAAATTTTGTCTTTGCTCAGTGACAAAAATACTTATGAGCCCCTAAAAGGGGACCTAGGAAGTGGTTACAGGAAGAGGGTGTCTGAAGCAATTAGAACAAGACAAGGCTATTGACCGGACCTCATACAGCAGGCTGTACCCAGGGGAAGCTACACTAAGTCTGTACAGTTTACCGAAGATACATAAACAGGGTGCACCTTTAAGACCGACTGTCTGTATGATCAACTCTGTCACCTATAACATCTTAAAGTTTCTGGCTTTGATCCTCAATTCGTCCCTGTGGCTTTTAAACCCCAAAACACGCTGCACCAAAAACCGGTCCACCCCAAGAATCGGGTCCCCCGACACAAACAGAGTAACAGAGTAACATAGTAACATAACACGCTGTTAAGTGCCAGGACAATGATTTATACATCGGGGAAACCAAACAACCTCTGGCGAAGAGGATGGCAGAACACAGAAGAGCCACCTCGTCAGGCCAGGACTCTGCAGTCTATTCACACCTACAGGCCAGTGGACACTCTTTCAATGATGAGGATGTAACATCCTGGACAGGGAGGAACGCTGGTTTGAGTCAAGGAGGCCATTTAGATGAAAAAGGAAAGACCATCTCTGAATCGAGGAGGGGGCCTAAGGGTACATCTGTCACCATCTTACAATGCTGTGATTGCAGCCATTCCCCAACTCTCTGTGAATGGGACTCATGATTATTAATCAATGGTCATGAGTCACCTCACAGCCCATTGTTCATTCAACAAGCTGGTTTCAGTCATTGTACAAATGTGCTGTTTATAAGATTAGAAAACTGCAGTATAGCTGCCAGAGTGACCCGTCAAAGGAACTTGTATAAAGGGGAGACAGTTTTCAGCAGTCCATGTCTTATCCAGGTGTTTGTGCGTATGTTTTCAGTTATGTGATGATGATGCCATTCAAGCGTCAGGCCTTGGTGGAATTCTCTGCAGTGGAGAGTGCAGACCGCTGTGTGTCCTGTGGAGCCAAGGAGCCAGTATACATTGCAGGTCTTTGCTTCCATTCCTTTTTACTTGGTAACATATACTCAAATGTAGCATACTGTTTGTGTTTATATTTTTCATTTTGTCATCAGGTCAACAAGCATACTTTAATTATTCCACATCCAAAAGAATCACCAGGCCTACAAATGCTGACAACCCCAACAGTGGGAACAAAGTGCTCCTGCTGTCCATACAGAACCCACTCTACCCTATAACAACGGTAAACACACATACAGATCCAGAGGGACATCTCAGCTCTCTTTTCTTAAGTGTACCTTCTTCTTCGAACAATAACTCATAGTCTTTATGATATGCTGATGGATGTGGTTTATATCTTGCGTGTTTTTTAATCATTTATAACTCATAATTAAGTCGTACCGTCTGTCTTCTTTAAATGGAGGGGCAATCTGAGCAGAACTTTGCACAAACATCAACTGTTTTGATTTTTGTATTCATCATCCCTGCAAGTGTGGTGTTACGATCTCCATTTGCATATATTTTTTAAATTTATGTTCAACATATGTCGCCTGTGCCTAACTTAACCATCACCAAAACTTTACACCAGAATGTGTTTGTGTAATTCCTATGGATTTCAACTTATTAACTCGAAATTTACTTTTCTCAAAATTTCAAGTTAGCTCTACCAATCAAAAATATACGTGAATGAAGTCGCTTTCTTGTTACCCGGAAGCATATGCTCCCCTCGGGCAGGAGGCTCCGGCCCATTCGCACCAGAACCTCTCGCCATAAGAACAGTTTCTTCCCCTCTGCTGTTGGACACATGAACAATAACCGTATGACTGTTCCCACCACTAACACATGACCCTACGCTGTGTTCACTGCATCATTCCATGTTTGGCACTGATCACCACCTGCACTCATGTATATATACTATCTACTTAGCACTTTTAATTCTTATTCTTATTTTTATTTTCATGTCTATTTAAGCGTAATTTATGACAGTATGTTTGCACTGAAGCACCGCAGCAATTTCCTAATGTTGTAAACCTGCTCAACATTTGGCAATAAAACCCTTTCTGATTCTGATTCTGATTCTGAGAGGAACGCGCACTCAAAAACGGATCCCAACAAATTGGCGCTTTCGCGAGTACGTTTGCTGATAGTAACACCATGTGATTCAGCTAATAACACAGGGATTTCATCATTTGTGAAGCCAGGCTGAAAACACTCAGCAATCTGTGCATTCACGACTGGATGTAATACCGGTAGCTTAGCTGTAGCATTTGTAGCTGAGGGCTTCAGCTTCCGGGTAACAGGAAATGACGTCATTCACGTAGATTACTGATTGGCAGCGCTAACTCGAAATTTCGAGTTAGCTTTTCTCAAAATTTTGAGTTAATAAATCGAAATTTCGAGTTAATATGTCGAAATTTCGAGAAAATAACTCGAAATTTTGAGTTATGGATCCTTTTTTTTTTTTTTTTTGTGGCGGAAACGGGCTTCCATAAATTCCTGCTACATCAGGTGTCTCAGTTATATTTGTCATGATTGCCATTGTGATTTGGCTATAAAGAAATATATACATAAAAGTGAATGGAGTTAAAAATACAAAACCATCACTGTTCCAGTTACATGTCTTAACCTTCATACATGAAGGTCTCACCATTAGAAACTCATAGATTAACGCTAATACTGCATTTTGTCTTTTTGTGTGTGTGTGTGTCCAAATTGATGCAGGATGTTCTGTACACTGTATGTAACCCCATTGGCAGTGTGCTAAGGATCGTCATCTTTAAACGAAATGGAATCCAAGCCATGGTGGAGTATCCTTACTGAGTGGGTGAATCTGTGTGTTCCTCACACTCTGCATCATAACAGTTTACCACACGTAGCTATCTTCAGTGTGTCACCGAGTGTTCTCATGGGGCGTGTCCAAATTCATGGGCTGCATCCTTCCGGGGCCGCATTTGTAGGCCGATTACGTCACAGTGACGGGATACAGGTGTATCCTTCGTGGCCCAACCTATCCCAGAATTCGAAGCCAATTTCGGTTTACAACAATGGCGGCAGCTACTTAGTCAGGGCTCTAGAGTGCGACCAATGTTGGTCGCAAATGTGACCAAATTTTTCAGTGGTGCGACTAAAAAAAATATTTGGTTGCACCTGTGCGACCAAATGTTCGGGTAGCAAAAAAAAAAAATCTGCAACCTTCCCTGTGGTCAACAACAGACACACATTATGCCCCTATCGTGGACTAAACCAATCAGAGATAGTAAGGGGCGGGACCTCTCTGATTGGCCGTGGTCCAGTTGAAAGTGCAGGTGGAAGTGGGAGGTGAGTAGCTTGAATAAAGCGATATCAATTCATTAAATCCTGAATCGACTTTTAAATATAACTGTGTTTTGCCAGAAACGCCAGATTCTCAGATTAAAGCTCACAAAACCATTTCAACAACAACCAAACAGCAAATGAGAGCAGGTACACGGACTCCACACAAAGACGTAAACACAGACCCGACGCATCAGAATCAGCTTTGTCTTTCTCGGCTTTCTCACCCGACGGCCCGTAGACGGACACGCTGTCGGAGCTTAGCGATCCTGATGCGTCCGGTCCGCTGTGTTTACGTCTTTTTGCGCTGATTCTGAGCTGCAGGTTTTGTCTCTCCAACCAAAATTCACCGAGCCAGCAGCAAAAGAAGCAGCAAACTGCGCTTCACATTTGATCAATGTCGTCATGAATTTTGCTGTTTTGCTTCCACGACTATTAAAATCACACTCATGCACAGCTAGCTCTCTCTCTCTGTACTTCAAGAACAGTTTCCGTCTCCAATCTCTGTTTTCTGTATTATTCATTGGCTTATTACCCACCAGTCTGTTTACAGCGCTGTGGCTGCTGTCTTTTTCTTTTCTTTTCTTTTTTTCACTTAAATGACCTCGGACAAGAAAGCCTGTTTTTTCTGTTGTTCAGTACGTCAAACAGAAAACTGATTAAACAGAAGTGTGAGACGGTTGAGAGTTTACTCCAGTGTCCTGTTATATTTTAGACAGCAAGGAGCAGACGGCCGAGTTCATTAAACGCCCCTGAGACAGCGGTGACGCAGATCTGAAGGCTTCACCGTCCAATTTCACAGCTGCTCGCTTCCGGCCTACCCGGCCTTCGGAGGACCTGGCACACCTAGACCGCGAAGGCCATGTCCTCAGGAGGATGCAGCCTATGAATTTGGACATGGCAATGTTTTTTGTGAAAGCCCTAAGATCCCGCCCAAATTCACGTTTAGTGTTTAAACTATAAAAATAGGCATTTATAGGCATTTCTGACCACATCCAAAATCTGCAGTTTTTCACAATCTGTGGGTCCTCTTTGAACATAACTCTCGTGAATTTCAAGGGTTGACTGTATCCTTGACACTCATCCAGAGAGATATGTTTTCATGCATTATTTGACACGAATCATTTAGTGCTTTTCTTCCATCATCCATCCATCCTTTCTTTTCCACTCTTCCTTATCAGGGTCGGTGGGGGGGCTGGAGCCTATCCCAGCTACCACAGGGCAAGAGGCAGGGTACACCTGCACAGGTCGCCAGTCTGATGCAGGGCTACATTCTTTCTTGTCATTCATAACCCTCATGCTTAAGGATCCTAAAACAGAGAGTTTTGGAAACACTGCTGAGGGGGGTTTATGTTAACGGCTGTGGGAGTGCGTGTCAGCCTGCAGTGGCAGAAGACAAGACTCTTAGACACGACACAGAAACCCATGTTCATATTCTGTTGGCCACTAAATGTAAATTGGATTGTGTCTTATGTCACAGTAGGGGTAGGTGGTTCTAAATTGCCCATACAAGTGTCTGTCTCTCTCGAGTTGCACTGTAACAGACTGGGACCAGTCAAGTTTGTATCCTGGCTTTTGTCCTACAGTAACTGGTCTGATTCTTTTCTACTCAGAGTCCTCAAAGAACTTAATACAGCGTGCCACATTCACAAGCAGTTTCTGCTGTGATTTTAAGTGCTCACTAACTAACATTCACACACAGATGGATGCATCAGAGAGCAACTTAGGGTTGGCTAATGGTATCTGGCATGCAGACTAGGGTGAACCAGGGAGCGAACCACCAACCTTCCAATCAGTAGATGACCTGCTCCACCCCCACCCAAGCTTACAGCACCTGGTATTCCCAGGCGGTCTCCCATCCAAGTAATAACCAGCCCCAACCCTGCTTAGCTTCCCAGATCAGACGAGAGCAGGCGTGCTCAGAGTCCTTAAGTATACCAGGCTGGGCTGGACGGTAATCTGGCATACTGGACATTTGACCAGTGGGGTGACACACTTTTGGTCAGATGTGTAAATTGAAGGGATGGTGCACTACATGCTACAGCAGCCCATTCTTTCATTTCCATTACTGGCACTGTGTTTCCCACTCAAATCTCTTAACAGTACTTACCTTTGCTGTGCACTCACACAACTTGTAGAACGGAGTGTATTTTGAAAAAGGTGGAGCTGAAAAGCCAGAAAAAGAGAAAGAAACAACAAATAAATGCAGCAAAATGTGTCTAATTAACCGGCAGGTTAGCTGTCTGGTCTGCTGGTACAGCATGGTCAACAGTCAAACCAGCAACTAGTAACAAGCCCTCACATTCACAAAAGGCTGCTGTTTCTAGCACCAGCCATGGAGAAGTGCAGGACTAACCACAGTCCCTACAAGAGTGAGGAAGATGCAGAGCAAGGAATAATGTATGTATTTTACCCATGCTTCTATGTGGTTTCATTGCCATTATTGAATGTAGCTATGGATAAGTATCTGCAAATGTATGTCATTTATATATCTCTGTGTTTGAACGTCCTCTCCTTAACCAAGCTTCTGCAGATTTGAGTCGGTTCAGTGTGCTCAGAAGGCGAAAGCAGCTCTGAATGGAGCTGACATCTATGCAGGTTGCTGTACACTAAAGATTGAATATGCAAGGGTAAGAGAAACATCAGCAGCATCCACAGTGTTTTTGTGCTATGTAGACAGCACTGATTTACCCTGACTGCAAGGTTTCCTGCGGCAAACGATACTCAGAATGTGTTAAATCTACTTTCTACCAACCTGAGTTAGTTTTATATAGCAAATAAATCAAGTGTACTGAACCTGTTTGGGTTCTCAGTATAACCAGTAACAGATCCTTATCCACACCAGAACTAAATCTCAAATGTTACTCTTAAATTTTGCACATTTCAAAATACATTTTAGAATTTAAATGAATAAATTAAATTGGTTAATTTCTTTTTGTGCACTTTATGCTTTGTGTCATGAAATGACTGTACAGGTATACAAATGTGTGACAAACTCATAAACTGTTGATGCACTGCAGTGTTTGGAGTTTTCTTCAGTGGCTTCTGAGACTCTCCTTGGTATCACAGATCCATCCAGCTAGATCGTGAATCTTTTTTCATCTTTCTTTTCAACAGCCAACACGTCTGAATGTTATTAAGAATGACAACGAGAGCTGGGACTACACAAAACCATACCTGGTCAGACGAGGTAGGTCAAAGTCTCCCTTTTAACTTCAGCCGTACGGTCAGACTCAGACAGGTTGACTGTTTGAGGTGCTCCTGTCTTTTTGCAATACTTGAGCTGCTGTAATGTTGAAGGTAGGACTGTTTTCAGCATGAATTCTCTGTGGGGACATATTCACCTTCACTACAGCTCTTTTAGGAAACCTTTTAGTGATTTGTGAATCCGTGGCCAAATCTTCAGTTGTTATTTGCCCGTTTCTGACTGTGGATTCAGTGTAGTCCTGAAAATTGTCCCGGAACATAGTTCTCCATCACACCGAGACTCCTACGCCTCCTGCCTCTACATCTCCAATCAAAACACTCTCATATCAGCCAATTTCCGACCTCTGACAATCTTGCACCTCTGCCTACTGTGGGGAAAGAGAGAGAGACACATTGAGGGACAGTGAGAGAGCAGAGAACGTCAGGCTGGCCATGCACAGCAACTTTCTTCCATCTACACCTTTGCAACCCAGCAAAGAGAGAAAGAGAGGGAGAAAAAGAGATGGATCTCACTCCTGCTGACCACCATGCAGCTGCTGCTTCAACATGCCCAGGAGCCACCTTCCCTGCCACTCGCTGCAGGATAGCACTGCCTCCTTTCCACCTATTTTACCCTGTGTTCTTAATCTCCTTTTTTGTCTGCAGAAGTAGTCTCACATAGCCTGACACCTGGTCTGCACAACGTCTTTTGTTCTCCAGAGCCTCGACATGTTAGATTTAACTTTCAGTGTTGCTTTTTTATAGCAATCTTGCATGTTTTTTACCAAACATCGACATAACAAGTGAAATCAAATCCTTGTTTCCTCTTCAAAATCTGATGAAAACACCTTATTGGGTAATAAGTTGAGTTTCTGGCTATGTGATTCTACATTATGAGTATCAAAACTCTGCTCTCTGTTGCTTTATTTTGTCTGAATTGGAGCTGTCACAATATCAGATTTTTAATGACACCTTACTGCAAAAATGGTATTCAAAAACGATAAACTAAGAACTATCTTTACAATGTTGCTTATAATTAAGATAGAACACTAAATTGAGAATTTCATTGGCTGTTACAGGTCTGAAAAACGGAGAGAAGCAGATACAGTAGCTATTCAGATGACAGCTAAATATTCTGGTAGGCATGTGAATAAATAAAGACTGTGAGTAGCCCTGTCAGCTTCCTTCACATGCGTATCTGGGTTCAAGTGTCTAAATTTGCCATGTAGTTAAAAAAGCAGTGTTGGTGTTATTGCAGATCCTCAAATATGAAACGTTAAATAGCAAATCTCAAATGAGACTGAAAGACTCTAAATCAGTATTAATGTGAACAGCAAGTTATGTAACTCGAGAACTGCCAAAGGATTTAGGTTAGTTAGCATGAACATGCTCTTACCAAAGAAAGCCTCTAGTGTGTCTGAGACAGAGTTAGCTGTTGACCGCCAAGCCTTTGAATTCTTGGTGGAAAGAATCAAACAGGTGAAAAGGTGCTGAGTCACCGTCAACCACACGGCCTGGTTCTGCTATCAGCTAAGAAATACTAACTGTGAAAGCCAGTATATTGTGACAGCCTTAATCAGGAGCTCTACCTTTAGCCATCTAAATCTCCTTGATTTGTATATTTTGATAGAAAGATTCATTACTATGTATCAGTGACTTGTTTAAAGCCAAAAGTTGTTACGTTATATTACTGCATGAGTGTGTTGTGTGATCGCAGTCCTGTGTGGTCCATTATCTGAAACTGTGTGATGAGACTGATGTTGGAGTCAGTTCATCCTGAATTCACTCAATTCAAAAAAAACTGTTGTTTTTTTTTCCAGACAGCACTGATTAAAAATTGCCCGACATCTGAAAGCGGTAAGCTCACAGCCCCTGGCTTCGGTCTATGGCAACATTAACAGCTGCTGCCCAGAGTATCAGCTTCACCGTGAAATGTTCTTTTGATATCCACAGAGCATTATTTATTATTTGTTACAGTCTCGGTGAGACTCTGACATTCCCCGAAGTGCCATTAACGACCATTAAATATTTTAGTTTTGGCTGCCTAATATAACCTTAAACAGCCTTGTTTTAAAATGATTCATTAAACGATTGTTTTTGTGATGAACTGGTCCCAACTCTGTTTAGTTGAAATAGTCACTAAATACATTTTATCTGCTGTGTTATATGATTTCATGGGGGTGCACTGCATTGACACAGACTGGGGCAAGTCACCAGTGAGGCTGGGGTGTGTTGGGGTCTCTGGTGGAGTATGAAAATGTATTTCTTTATGTATTTAGCTTCCACAATAGTGGTTGCTAGTACCTTTACTGCTCAGTTTTAGTTTGCTTTATATTCCCTCTGTACTAGCTGCTCTTTTCTTGTGCTGCTTTAATCATTTCCACCATCCAGCACCTACATGAATGAATTTGTGTTCCTTTGATAGAAGTTATATATTTGGAGATAAAGTATCTGAACTTCAGGGACCACGCCTCCAAACACGCTCCTTCTGGTTCTCATCTATATGTGTTCCCCCAGTTCTACAAGCTGTTCGTTCTCGTTTACATGCCCCTCCCTCCCCTTTTCAATTCTTTAACTTCTTAACTTCTATTTAGTACATGATGAGCCGCCAGTCTCCTCTGAGGCCTTCCCCAAACCACAGCTCAATACATGGCCAAGCCATTCACCATTATCTACTAAAACGCTGTCAAACCTCAAATGAGGACGTAAACCATCACTGGGGAGACTGCTTTGGACCTTCTCTAAATGAGGCACTTTGGGGAAGATTCACATAAATATGAAGTATTATCTTGGCATGAAATACATTTTTAGATGATCAAACAAATCATATTTTAAAATGTTTTATCTCTTATTTTTATCTTTATAGCCTTACAGCTTTTACCAGAATGTCCAGCCCTGGGCCCAAACCTAGATTTGTTTTTGGCTGTAATATGTTGTGTCAGCTAAAACAGGTTAGAATACTAGCCCAAAAGACTGATGCAGTTCTGCACATTACTGGCAGCAGCCAGGTGGTGTGAACGGCCTCTAAAACTGGGTAAAGCCACAGAGCCGTTTGGGTCCCTCCCACACCACAGAAGAAGACCAGTCACGCTATCACAGTGACTGTGCACCCCTTTGTTAGTTCCTTGTGCTAGTGAAAAAATGCAACAGTGTTTCAAGCTGCAGTGTTCTGAGGAGCACCAGCAGCACATCAAGGAACCCAGAATATCGGTTGTCTGAAACTCTGTTCAAGTAAAAGATCCCCTGTTTGGTTCGAGAAGGAGAGGTTACGTCAGGAAGAGCAGCCACTGAAAACTCAAATCAAACATGCAAAGTTGCCCTCTGTGGTAAGGGAGCAGCTGGAAGTAGCACAGAGTTCTTTTTCCCTGCACTGCTGATAAAATAAACATGCTCATCAGCCACAAGTTCTGTTGCTTTTGACTAACAGAGCCATTCATGGATATGGTTAAACTACCCAAACAAGGTCGCCCTGGCTGCATAGGGGGAAGTGGTTGATGTTGTCAAAGGGTACGTTACCAGAGGAGAGCATATAGCTATGGGCTCATAGACTGACCTACATATTACTTGTACCTTTTACTTTAGTAGCTGCGTTTAGCATGAGGTTATTAACCTTATGGAAATGGAAGTGGACTGATACTGACGTGATACTTTTCTACTTTAAATTCAGTTCAGTTCAGTTCAATTTCTTTATTGTCCCACAAGGGGAAATTAGTTTGGCAGAAGGATAAAAATAAACAGAACAATAATATAAAATAATAATGACAAAAATAGTGAGATAAAATGATCATCACTTTAGGCAGCAAGTCACGTTTAACCATACATTCATACAGTGAGCTCTATCTACTTTCATCCACAGACAGCTGAGTGCATCTTCGAACACCATTCGTCTCTGACTTTCTCTGCTTCTCTGTGCCAATGTGCATTTCTGTCAACCTGCCCCTTTTCTTCTACCCTGTCATACTCTGCTGCTTTCACTCCTCCATGTTTTGCACGTTCATCATTTTGTTCCTGCAGAGTTTTTGGGTGAATAGAAATGTCAGTCCCCGACGTGTTCCTGTGAAAGAACGCTTCTGTGGGTTGGGTATTGATAGCTGTTGGAATACAGACTGTATCAATAGTATGTCCGTTGTCCCACTTGAGAAGATGGGGTGCTAGAGCTGCTCTATGCCCTGCAATGGGAGGTCTGACCATAGTGTAGTCCTCTCGTTAAACAACAACCTGTAGCAACCACAGTTGTTGCAAAGGTAGGCAAATGCGGCTATGTACACTTTGCATGTTTGATTTGTGTCTGCAAACTGCACTTAATGAACCACACACCTAAGCTTAATGACTGTTGACCACTTGTCCTCACATCCTGTGTAATTAATGCACTGGAGAGACCATTCTTGGCTCACCTGAGACCACAGGTGAAAACATCTCTTGACGTTCTTCGTTTTGTATTCAGACCAAATCTGGGAGTGCATGATACAATTATTAACAGCTTCACTCCCATGTAGATGGTATCTGATGCATGTTGAGAATCCCCTTCTGTGGGTTCTGAAGTCCGTTCATCCAATAACTGCTGCTACTATTAATCTATCATAAAGAGGACATGATGTTGAAGGGGTTTTCTTTGATTCTCTTTTGTGAGATCACACGATTGTAAAAATATACTGTCCATGAAAGAAATTGGATCATAGCACAGTGATTAGCATCCAGTGGATCCTCTATCTTGGGAGGAGGTGCAACTCCGTTGGAGAGCTGCATCACAATTCAATCACAGACAGAAATTTGGGTGAATCTTATGTTACATATGGGTGATGTGCATATAATGTAAGCTGAACATTTAACAAACGCAAACAGAGACCAAAACATCAGCAGGTGTAGGGGTGACGGATATTTAAACATACATAAGCTGCAATCAATACAGTCAGATGTTCTGGTTTGTTTTGGCTTGTCAACTACAGATCCTCTCACAACATCTTAGCCTGTTGTCAGACAACCCAAAATCATGCAGTCAGGGTCACCCTCAGCAAAGACGCACACTGAGCTTATCATTATCATCATAGCAGATACTTTAATACACAAGCAGGCTCAGAGTGCAAAACAAAATGATCTAAATCTGCTAAGCTTAGCAGGGGAAAGCAAAAAGAGTATTTTACTGTTAAATTCTTGCCAGAATACAAAAATAGTTAGTGAATTATTTATATGATAAATTTAACATCACCTGGGAGCTGAGAATTTATTCTTTAAATCAAAGGAAAGTTGCATTGAAGCGTGTTGTATGTTACTTTAATGACCTGATAGGTCACACAGTACTGTGATTTCACTGCAGTGCATATTTCTACAGTGTAATGAAAAACTGTTTGTCACCTACTTGACTTCACTGAAATGTTTCAGATTGTCAAGCAAATTTTAGACGTTGACAAAAACACAGTAGATATAAAACGATGATTTCATTTATTCATGGAAAACAGACAAACGTATAAATACACATATCCAACCTGGCCTCATGTGGAAAGTAAACGTAAAACTGGTTGTGTCATCCCAGTTTGATTCACTGAAATGGAGTCCAGTTTGTCTCCACTATCCTGAGCAGAGATGGGCAGTAACGCGTAACGTGTTACTGTAATCCGATTACTTTTTCAAGTAACGAGTAAAGTAAGGGATTACTATTGCAAAAACGGTAATTAGATTACGTTACTTTCCCGTAGGAACGCTGCGTTACTAAAACCGTGATTTTTTGCGAGAATGTCTCACGACAGTGACGTAAGCGAGCGCGACGTTAGTGACAACAGCTGTGTGCAGATCAACAATGGATCACATATCAGTGCAGAGAGAGTATGAGCGTGCAGCGTTTAAAGCGTGGAAGTACTGACCTTACTTTGAGTTTGATTCCATAAAAAGTGACAAAAACATGAGTGTCCGCTGTGCGTGGGAAGAAAACTTCTTTTTACAGCGAAAAAAACCCCTAAACTTCCAACAAGCACCGAGTAGCTACGACGTAATGGGAAACTCACAGAGAAACTCGCGGATTCTTCCACTGACCGCGGCACACCTGCACCAGGGTAAACCTCCGCCTACCCCACTCCTGCTTTACAGGTGAAAATAGAGCAACAGGACCGCTGAGTCTTTGACTTTATTTATGTTCTGCTGTGTTTTACTTGCATCTATTTGAAAGACTGAGTGTAAACACAAAAAATATTTTATTTTATGTGCTGGAATGTGCAGAAAATAGGTTTAAATGTTAAACTAATTTCTTCCAGTCAGAGAATGTTGCAGATAATTAAATGTTTGCTTGATGCATAAAGTTAAAAGATTAAAACTAATAAAACAAGTTTTAAAAATAGACTTTTCCATTTGATTACATTTTGTATGATGGATTATGTAGAAAAAGTAGAATTGGGCTGAAAGATCTATCGCTTTATCACCTCTTCGGGTTGTAAATCGTGTTTTTAAAAAGTAACTAAGTAACTAAGTAATTAATTACTTTTTAAATAAGTAATCAGTAAAGTAACGGGATTACTTTTTTGGGGAAGTAATCAGTAATTAGTTACTGATTACTTTTTTCGAGTAACTTGACCAACACTGATCCTGAGTGGGTGCATATTTCAGCCATGTGACACAGTGATTGATCCACAGCACTGCAGACAGACGTGTTGTGGATAAGACACTATCCTGGCAGTACGTATGGGGCCGATCGTCAGAAAGTCTGTGTCATGTCAGTGTGCCTCCAACATGTGTGTAGCATATACAGTATGTAATGCTTTGATGGATGAGTGTTTTGATAATGGTCATGTTTTTATCATTGTGATGATAATGTAATGCAGGTTGATGTTCTTTTGTGCTGAGGGAGAAAAAAGAGAAAGCTTGATGCCTCACAGGTACTGTCTCTTTCTTATCTCTGTTCACATGTGTTTGTATTGTTTTTCCTGCTCTTCTCTGAATAAAACCACCACAAAACTGTTTTTCTTATTTTTTCACCTCCATTACCACCATAAGTAGTTTTGTTGTTATTTTTTGGGAGCAGCTGGGATTAAATAAATAGAAATAAATGTGTACAAACACACACAAAAAACTACTGTAGAAAATCAGCAGCTGCTCTTCATTTCACTTTGAAACCTCACATTTCTGATCTTTTTCATTTGAAATTCTGATCTCTGCATGGCAGATGGCATCGATAAAATCTTCTTCTTTTTCTTGAGTTGTCATGTGCATAGCATGGCCGTTTTAATTTGGCCAACTCAACTCAACCGGAAACACAATGAAGGCATATAAAGGACATTAATAACCTTCACATGTAGTCTGCCGCTGAGCATGCTTGTTGTGCTCGTGTAGATTTACAGCTGTTAAAACTGAGAGTTTATCTGATGTATTAAAAACTGACCATGTTAAGCAGCAGCATTCTTAGTTGTCTGTGTTATTCCCAGTCCAAGAAAATGTCACAATGATATTTATTATAATACTGTAATATAATGTAATATTTAGGAAAGCCAGGGCAATATTTCAGTGAATCTGTGTGGCAGAGATTTGTACCAAAGAAGTGGCATGTTAGTGTCTCAGATCTCAGCTATTAGCAACATCTGCCATGGCTCTGCAGGACTGTGTCGTTCTCTTTCATGGGCACAGTATCAGATAGAAGCTACCCCTCAGTTCCAAATGAATCCCACAATAAACATAGATGGAGGAAACAGATTTCCTCTGTGATGTTTCTGCAGGAATATGAACACTGGAAGAAACGGAGGCCTTTTTGTCAAACTGTAAATCCTGCTTTAAAAAAGCGTTCAGCTGAACTGTTTCATGAATGCTCCAGATGTGAGTCGTGATTGATCAAACTCAAAATTGCAACATTGCATCATTTTAAATGTAGCACTGTTAATAACTGGCTCTGATTTTTAAAGATATAGTCAAGAATCCAAAACACTGTCTCCTCCCTGTAGACGCTCCGCGAGGCCTTTGAAGCAGCCAACTTCAGCTGCTGCTTCTTTGTTGGTCTCTTTTCCTTCAGTAACTGAAAAGCATGCTCTGTCGGGTGGAGATCAGGTCTTGACCACTGAAAGGTTTCCCACCTCTTTGCTTTGAGACACTCTTGGGTTTCTTTGGCAGGATCCATTTGTACTGTGAAGCGCTGTGTAGATCCATTTGACTGAACCTGAGCAGAGAATCTAGCACCATACAATTCAGACTTTTACCAGCAGACACATCATCAATAAACGCCGGAGACCCTGTTCCACGGGCAGTCATTCATTGCTGCCTTCCACCATGTCTGATAGATGTTGTGGTACACTTTCCATTTCTTTTGAATTCTTTACTATTTTCATCATTCTGGTGCATTTATTTGGGTTTCAGCTGAAACTCTTTTAGATGGTTTCCACCTTGTTGTTAACCTCCTGTATTTCCGTTTTTAGGATTAACTTGCTTGTTTGGAGCTGGGAACTGAACTGTCAGCCTTCTGATTAGTGGAGGACACTTTCTCTTGTCTTCTGGTTGTGTTTTTTTACTTTGTGACTGTCTGTCAAACAGTATAATGAAGTAGAGTATTATTTATTTGTCACACATTAAGACTTAATCATCAAGTTAATCGCTGAGATCTGGGAGCACATAAGCACTGCCAAACATAGGCTCAGTCAGACCCAGCCCGTTCAAGCATTCGGCCTTAATGGACCATTTGATTGGTACTAACAGATCTCTAACGAGGCAGTGAATGAATGAAACACTTTCCAAGTGTTCTTTAATGTCATTTAAATCAGTATATGTGAAATCTTCTCGCATTCACATAATTGGTTTGTGTTATCTGTATTTGTATGTATTTCAGACCGTGGAAAGGGAAGACAGAGACAGGCCATTTTAGGCGAACACCCATCTTCCTACAGTGATAATGGTTATGGTAAGTAAGGATTTTTCACAAGCATGAAGACACAATGCACAGTACAAAGACAGGAATAATCACAATTAAATAGAAAATAAAAACTCATTTGATGGCAAAAAAAAGACACTCGGTTAACTCTTTGCCTTCTTTCTCTCGTAGTTGATGTTTTGTCTTTCCGTCATCTGCCAGGTGTCTGACCTGGTTCTGCTGAAGACAGCTTTTTGTGTTTACAATGACTTCTTCCTTTCGACTGTTGTGAAGGCAAAGCACATGGCAACAGTGACCTGGTTTCTCTCTTTGATGCTTCGAAATCTACCTGTTTTGAACTCCCACTATGTCGATACATCCACGGGGCTAAAAAAGTTGGAACACTGAGTAAAATGTAAAAAAAAAAAACCCAAAAGAAACCCCAGAATGTGATGATTTACAAATCCTGTAAAGCCATAATATATTCTTATATACATATATAAAGTTAGAAATATCCTGTCTCAGAGTGACGCTGAAAAACTAGTTCATGCATTTATTACTTCCAGGCTGGACGACTGTAATTCATTATTATCAGGATGTCCAAAAACTCACTGAAAAGCCTTCAGCT